TTCAGTATGTGCAAAATGCATAATTCAGCCAATAAATTAATTAAGACAACAACAGATTTCTTGTTCAGCCAGTTTTCATTTATTGTACATTTGCAGCATAATGATGTGCAAAAAGTCTTTCCTTTTTGTTTTTACTTACAGACAACATTGTCAAAACAGTCTGCAAAAGAGACTAAAAATTTGTGTTTTTATAGTTTAGATGACAACAGTATAGTTTTTTTTTAAACTTGCAGTTTGAATCTCGTTTTCAATAGTTTGCTTTTTCAGGCCCCCAAAACGGCCAAAACACAAAAAGTTTTCCACTTTTAGTTGAAAATGGTGTCGTGTAAACGGCCTCTTAGTTACAATAGATTAATTTGTTTTGATAACTGCATAGATGTTACGTGAACTATGCTATCTTTGTTTGCCACTGCAAAAATGAATTCCTTACTTAGTATTTCTGTCTTATTTTCCATTACAAACATCTAAACATTCTTAAATCAAGAAGCATTTACTTGAGAAGCAAAATGACTTAAAATATGCATCAAATTTTTGTTAGTTTTTGCTTAAAACAAGAAAAATATCTGTCAGTTGGGTAAGAAAAATCTTTTTAAATCAAAGGCAAAACAAGGTTATTTTTCTTGCCCCACTGGCAGATATTTTTTCTTATTTTAAGCAAAAAAAACAACAAAAAAAACAGAGAACATGACTTAAGACTTAGTATCTTAATCATTTTGCTTCTCAAATAAATGCATCTTGATTAAAAAATGTTTAGATATTAATACTAGAAAACAAGACAAAAATACCTAGAAAATCAGTGTGTGAGGGAGCATTAGTCCTCTAAAGAGAAAACATAGTTTTAAATGGTTGAACATGCTGCAGCAGGCCTCAAGACTCAACACTCAAACCTCAAGTATAGCTGACAGTTAACAAATTTACATCACAACTCAACAAATAACTAACAATAATGGCAAAATAACAACAAAAATGAAGTCGGCAGACTGCAAAACTATAATCCTATAGTAACCACAACATGTATTAATGATTAACATTAACATTTCAGCAATATGACATTTTCTTTGACTAGTTGCATATGTGGATTATTTACTAGTTGGTGGTTTTTATGTAGTTTCAAGAATACTGCATTAGTATTTGAGACTCTAAAGGTTTTGTAAACTGTAAAATATATAGTTGCTTTTATTTTTACAGTCTGGTTCATTGTGGCCAAACAAAAGCCTGTTCCCAACAAAGGGATATAGAGTTGACCATAGAGTTTGTGCTCACAGAAAACCACGGCAAAGCCTCGGAAGACGCTGTGTACTTGGAATTCCATGTCTGAGATTACACAGGCAGGCCACCCATGATGTTAACCACTAGCCGAGTAAATGGGTTTTCTGAGTTGTCACTCAAGATTAAAGGCGGTATGATCTTACCGCTGTAAACAGCATTACCTCTGTCGGTAAACATTACATAATATTTACAGAGGCTGCTCAAGAATTTACATGGAAAATGTGAAGATGCATAAATCAAATGGAAAAAAACGTGACAATCGTGTCTTTGGTGACAATGCGGTGACGGTTTATCTAGTGCATTCTATGAAAAAAATAAGAGAAGAGTCAATGTAACTGTCACACAGTTTACAAAACCTTCTGAGTCTCAAATATTAATGCAGATTTCTTGAAACTACATAAAACCCACGTCAGACCAAACAGAATTCACCCAAATGTTTCAAAGAAGTGAGTTTCTTTCTTGTGTGGAACTTAAAAGAAGATACAGTTAACCAAACAGCCATTGACTTCCATAGTAGGGGAAAAAATTTGATGGAAGTCAATGGGTGCCAGCAAATGTTTGGTTGCCAACATTCTTCAAAATATCTTCTTTGTTGTTCATAAGAAGAAAGAAACTCGTACAGGTTTGGAACAACATGAAGGCGAGTAAATGATGATGAATTTTTAATTTTTGTGTGAAATATAATTTTATTTGTTGTGTTGTGATGTTAAGAGCTTGTCTTTTTACATTTGTTGATTGTCAATGTTCTTGAGGTTTGTGTGTCACTCTGTTCAAATATTTAAAACTATATCCCGGATATATTTGCTTTGTAGGATGATTGTTCCTTCATAAATAAATATAGCATTCACTTAACATATTGAGTAAGACTATATATATACGACTACGAAATAACAAAATAATTTGTGTTACTAAATAAAAAATTGTTGAACAAGAAAACTGATTTATCTATAGGCTGAATGAGGCATTTTGCATTTAGTGAATAAACAAAGTAGTGCTACTTAGCACAATTATTGAGAGAACTTGTCTTGGATTTCTTTTTTTTAATAGTGCAAACTGTTTATTTTACTGGCCATTGAGCAGATGCTTCATCCGAAACGACCGAACAGCCTTCTTGAAGAAACCCGAGGTTAAGTGTCTCGCTCCGGGGCACAATGGTGACGAGGTAGGACTGGAATTTCGGCAGCTCTCCAGTTTCTAGGTCACTCCACCTGGAGTTGAACCCACAACACTGAAGCCAGCAGCCCGGATCCTTAACCATTAAGCCATGACATCATGCATCATAAATGCAAACACAAAACACCTGCAGATAGAGAAGATTGATGAGCTGGAATCACAGATACAGTCTCCTCTTATCACGACGACAGGCCCGGCGCGCCGCAGCAGAATTTGCAAGCTCACTTCAGTTATCATGGTTTGTGGTTTTCTTCCTGTCATAATTATTGATCATGCGTTCTGACAAGAGAGCATGTTTTGGGCAATTAGCAGGGCTAAATGAATAACAGGAGGGCAGTGATAAGGAAAGCAAATGTACTTTAGGGTTTTGTTGATTAGATTCCAGAGAGGTTTGTTTTCCTCTTGTTTACTCAGTGTCATCAGAACCAAGAGTGAAACATTAACTACAATAATGTCATTTTCAGACCTCCTTTTTTGACTTTTAAGTCAGAAAAAGTCATACAATGGCAAATTGTTCTTAATTCACTCACCACTGTTGCTAAATCAAAAAAAAATATATATATTTATCTCTGAGTGTGCTGAGATTAATTATGGTTGAATTGTGAGCATAAAAGGGTCCTAAAATAAACAGAATAATAAAATATCCGAATGACACTCGAAAAGAACATTTGAAGTCATTACATTATTGTTTCTCCTCTATGCCCCGCCTTTCTGAAACACAACGATTTTTACAAAGCTAATTTTTCAGTTAAAGACAGTTCATCATTGAATTCAGTGATGTCATCATCCAGCTCAGTTCAGTTTAAATAGCATCTGTGCAATCATTTGCAATCAAGTCAACGATATCGCTGGAAATGAAGTGTCCCCAACTAAGCAAGCCAGAGGAACTAAAACTCCATCGGTGACAGAATGGAGAAAAAACCTTGGGAGAAACCAGGCTCAGTCGGGGGCCAGTTCTCCTCTGACCAGACGAAACCAGCAGTTCAATTCCAGGCTGCAGCAAAGTCAGATTGTGCAGAGGACTCGTCTGGTTCCTGTGGTCTTGTCCCGGTGGCCGTCTGAGACAAGGTCTTTACAGGGGATCTGTATCTGGGGCTCATCTAGTTGTCCTGGTCTCCGCTGTCTTTCAGGGCTGTGGCTTGCTGGGGCTTGTCATACAATGGCAAATTGTTCTTAATTTACAAGCCTTTCTTTTTGCAAAATGAATATTTTTCTTTAAAATTATGTTTATTCTCATTCTACGGTGGTCCTTTATGATTACCTTTGAATTATGAGCAGCAAATGATCCTAAAAACAGAAAAATAAAATATGTAAATAATGTAAAAGGTCTGAAAATAAAGTCAAATCAAATCATAAATAAATAAAATACATTGCAAAATAAGCATATATATATATATCCCCCTTCATTCTACAGTATTTAATTAAACGTAGGCTATACCTATCTCAGTATGTGCTGAGCAGTGTTGGGGAAAGTTACTTTTAAAAGTAATGCATTACAACGTTGCGTTACTCCATAAAAAAGTAACTAATTACGTTACTTAGTTACTTTTTATGGAAAGTAATGCGTTACGTTACTTTTGCGCTACTTTTTAAATCTGGACAGGGCTTGCTTGTTTGTTTTTAAAATAAAAAAGTTATATTTTTGGCAAATATAAAAGCCTTTCACACCAAAAGTGAAATGAATAAGCCTCAGGCTGAAGGGAAAGTAAGTTTATGTCCGTACAGTAGAATGCAGAAAAAGACATTTCAACACTTCAGCAATAAACAAAGACACACAGATGCTCGTCTGGAGTAATGTGTGCTTATTAGTACGCTTGAACTGCATCATCGAAGCTCAGAAGCAAATAGAATGGGATTAAATACATAAAGCATATTTGTGTTGTTTAACATTTCATTATTGCAGGTTTGCATCATATTCTGAGTTGCATTATTTTTATTCATTTTGAGGAATACTGAATCTGTGTTGTTTTTGTTTTTTTGTGAGCGAGATGAATTAATGCATATTCATATTTATTTTAGAGCTACAGTAACATCTTCTGATTTCTCTCAACATGAGGACACCAGAGCTGTCAGTCAATCAATTGGAATAAAAAAAGTAACTTGTGTTACTTATTTGAAATAGTAACTCGGATATTCTCTTGTAAATTAAAAATGAATGCGTTACTTTACTAGTTACTTGAAAAAAGTAATCTGATTACGTAACTCGCGTTACTTGTAATGCGTTACCCCCAACACTGCTGCTGAGATTATGGTTGAATTATAAGGTCCTAAATGCAACAGAATAACAAAATATCTAAATGACAAGTGAAAATAATATTGAAAGTCAGAAAATGAAGTCCTACAATGCAACCCGTTTTCGGCATTTTTTTGCTTGCTTAATAAATTAATAAAATTGAATGCATGAATAACCCTCATTCTACAGCATTTAAAGTGCACCTAATAACACCCCCCGATGATCATTCATAACACGACCCACCTGATCAGGTGTTGATCCGCTCCGTGCGCCGCACCTGGGTTTCTTCGCACTGAAGTCGGAGCGCGAGCGGATTGGCTGCAGCGCCGGCGGCTCGCGCGGGGATCTCGCGCTCCTCCAGCTCTCCATCAGAAGGCGGGGAGCTCGCGCTGAGGGAACTTCACTGACAGACATCTACAACTCACCTCAGGAGCGCCGATTTACCTGTTTACAGCCGATCCGCGGCGTTTCGCGAAGCCTCGAGAGAACAGCTGCTCAGGAGAGGAGAAACGGAGGATATTGATCCCAAACACTTGTGTTTGACGGCCGTTGGTGGCCGCTTCTGTCAAAAGAGTGCGCTGAGGTAAAAACTAACGGATTCCATCAACGCTTCATTCCGCGAATAATAATCTCTCCGCCACAAGTTCCGCCGGTTTTATCAGAAACAAGATCTCCAGAGGTGCCTCTGGTTATTATCTCACCGGATTTCTGCCTGGTTTCGGCTGTTTGTATGATGGGAAGAAGTAGAAAGACTGCGAGAAGAGAGCGAGGCGGATCGGGACGCTCAGCGCAGATGATAACTGTGCTAGTTTTTACTATTTTATCGCTCATCAACACCGGTTCAGCTCAAGGTAAGAAAACCTTTCAACACCAGCTGAATATCGTTCAGCAGAGTTTGCTTTATGAGTGAAAGTTTCGTTAAATTATTGTTCAAGGTCTTCGTATGAAAAGTTGTCAAATCAGCTTTATGCAGATGTTTATTCGGCATAGCGTCTGATTTCAGTTAATAATGCTAATAAGTCTTCATGGGAGTTACTCAAACCCTTCATTTGCTTGGATTACTAGTCAGATTTGATATTTCAGGCGTGAATTGATGTGGTTTTTGTTTGTAAATTCTGTGTAAAATTGTGTGGTCGAACATGTTAATTAATTAATTCCCGCCGGATCGGGTTTGTTTATATATTTAAACTAACAATGGCATTTGCTGTTAATATTATTTTTGTTGCAGTAGTTTTGATTTTGTTGTTTATATTTCAGCCAGGGTTGTCACAGTTGGTTAAATCGCTTTACATTGAATAATCGCGTGTGTGGGTTATTGTGGTTTGGTTTTAATTTTAGGCTCGAGGTCATTACATGAGAAAACTGTGTGAGAGTGTGTGTGTGTGTGTGTGTGAGAGAGAGTGTGTGTGTGTGTGAGAGAGAGTGTGTGTGTGTGTGAGAGAGAGTGAGTGTGTGTGTGTGAGAGAGAGTGTGTGTGTGTGTGAGAGAGAGTGAGTGTGTGTGTGTGAGAGAGAGTGTGTGTGTGTGTGAGAGAGAGTGAGTGTGTGTGTGTGAGAGAGAGTGTGTGTGTGTGTGAGAGAGAGTGAGTGTGTGTGTGTGAGAGAGAGTGTGTGTGTGTGTGAGAGAGAGTGAGTGTGTGTGTGTGAGAGAGAGTGTGTGTGTGTGTGTGAGTGTGAGTGTGTGTGTATGTGTGAGAGTGTGTGTCACGTTAGAAATGAGCAGAACGATGTTTTTGCGTTTGTCCTTTTATGCGCAGACGGATCTGTACCTTTCTGAAGGCTTATCGTGCTGCTTAATATCTTTAGTCTTGTTATGAGTGCTGAAATCTTGTTACAGGACCGTTTTCTGGCTTTAAAGGATAAGAGTATTTCTCTTTTGCTGTAAATCTTGTTTGCGCGTTTAGTATAGAAAGGACTTAGCGCGTTATTATTTAATTATTTATTATATATATCTATCTATATATATGTATAGTGTGTGTATATAATGTGTGTGTATGTATATGTGTATATATATATATATATATATATATATACTGAAAATAATGCATAATTAAATCATCAACTTGTATTATAGATCATTTTACTATCCAAAATTCCTTTGGGAATATTTTGAGGAAATCCGAGAAACTTGAAACCACAAAATATCACTCATGGCCTCATTCTGTGAGAAGCGAATGTGCTGCTGGCATTTTATATTTATTAAGAGTTTGAATTGATAATTTACCCAAATTCCCTGTTTCTGTTAGGAGTAAAATAAATAGTTTGATTATTTTGCTATTGAGTACTACTTCTGCTGCGTACTTTGATTGCATTATAATGAACTAATTAAATGAATTTTCCTCTGGGCACAACGTTGTGAGTTAAAAGTGCTTTCTCTACGCTGAAGATGCTTTCAAGTTTGTGTTTGTGGCATATCTCAGAGCTGATGCCGTTTGCTTTCTTGAACGTGTCCGTTCACTGAAGCGAGTGTGGGACTCCATTAAAAGGATTTCGCTGAATAATTGTTGTGCAAGTAAACCGGCAGCCATGTTCTTGACACAGAGAGATGACACACAGACCTCCTCCCTATCACAAGGCAGGTTTGTGAATCTCCTCCGAGCCACGTTTGACATTGACTTCAACCCTTCCTCAGTGGTTTACATGCAGTTTTACTGTACTGGATTCTGCTGATCTCGTGTTTTTTTGGAGATCACTGACAGAAAAGGCGTTGAACTTGTTAAAGTACTATTCTAGATTATGTACTATATTGCTGTATTATTTAAAAGCTACTTTTTTCCTGTAGCTCAGCGGCAGGGTCATGGGTTTGATTCCCAGGAGATGCATGCATTGAAGAAAAAGTTAAGCATAAATGCAATGTATAAGTCGCTTTGGATAAAAGCATCTACCAATTGCATAAATTTGTATTTATTATTTAATAGCTACTTTTTAAACCATTAGTTCAAACAGAAGAGCAATGGAAAGGTTGTGGGTTCAATTCCCAGGGAATGCTAAAGCTCGAATGCAGTGTACGTCGCTTTAGATAGAAGCATCTGCCAAATGCTTAAATGTAAAGTGATTGGGGATGTTCATTTTAACCCGTTAACCGACTGTAAGAATTTTTGACCGATTAATACAATCAGTTAAACCGTTTAAAAAGTCATTTATTTATTTCAGTAATTAATCAAAATATTTAAAAAGGTTTGCTGCATGGTTAAAATACACTACGTGTATATAAAAAAATTGTGTTTTTTAGAAAAAATTTTTTTTTTAATTCAGAAATAGACCAAATGCCGACATACGGCTACTCTGCATGGAAAAAATTCCCTCACGCTCCTTTCTTCTCCTGATCCCCCTATTTTTCACTGTCGATACACTTGTGTTAATTAAGTGTGTGAATTCCCACTCGTCTCAGTGTTCTCTTGACCCTGGAAACAGAGGAGAGAGCAATAGAGAGGGAAGTAGTGGCTTTATCAAGTACAGTAAAATCACTGACATCTCCACCACAAGTGTCTCCCGTCGCCTGAATATGATTAAGAGGCGACCGGTCAAGAGGGAGCGAGGGGGATAAAAAACAGCACTGTACGACCCTTGACAATACTTAGACAGGAGACGGTCTTGTCATCCGCTTTAACGGCAGAAGGCCGTGTGGATTTGGGGGCTGAAGTAGACCGGCTGTCTGTTTGAATATGCAGATCCTCTGCTGATGAAAGGCGAAGATCCCAAATGTGCATAATCCATTCTTGTACGTTTTTGTTTTCATGTAGGCTGCATGCTTTTTCTGCTTTCTGTATGCCATCGGTTCTATATGCAGTGCTTTTTTTTGTAAAACAAAGGCACCTTGTTTGCTGTCTTATGTGTAATTACTGTTTAAAAAAACTGTGAAGCAAACCCACTGCCTGCTGAGTGCGTCAAAGTGAGTTCACTTTTTCCACGTCTGTCCTCTCGCTCTGCATGTTATGCGTCCTCTGAGCTTTGTTTATGGACGGGGGGGGGGGGGGGGGGGGGGTGCTTTTATTTTTAAGAAAATATTTAGCAAACTCAAAAAGAGACAAGGTTGGCGTAAAAATGAAAATGTTATTGCGATCATCATTACTCTAAGTGCTTCCCTCATTGCCTAACGGTCGGGTCTCAAGGGCTCTACTAAGGTTACAGCCATCGTGGTCGTTCTCCAAGTATGTTTGAAAACACAAAGGCTTCATTGTGCGCCAAACGGCTACTATACTATAACCTAGCGCCACTGTGTATCGTAATTCCCTCGTGATGTAGGCCGTTTTTTAAGTTTGAAGGAGAAAATGAGACTTAATGCGGTCACGTGCTGGTGAAGGTAAAGGTCGAGCCAAACGGTGTGTCATCAGAAACTCCTTTTTTGTCGCCTTGTGGGCATCAGCACTACACGCTGTTTGTTGGCCTTCCCCCGTGCTGAGGATATTTTTTCGTGATAATTGCTGTGAAAGGCGTGCTGAGGTTGCAGCTCTCCTCTTCTGACGTCACGTAGCGCACCGGCTGTGGAAAAGATGTATTACAGTATGCATGTGCGATTGTCTACGGCGAATCGCGCTGTATCCAGCTGCGCAGGTAGGTGAGCGAGCAAAGTCACGGCAATGACAACCTCTATTCGTAGCAAAAAAGAGAAAAAGCAGACAGGGAGTGGAGTGAGCGCAATTAATCACACACTGTCACCCTGTAAACTACAGGGGAAGCATCAAAGTGCAGCTTTGGGTTCTATTAGCAGTCCATTAGTGGAGCCCGGCACAAGTGTGGCTACTTCACAAGCATGACGCCGCTGAAGTGACCGACCTGTCTGTCAGCAGATCTCCTTTTCCATCGTGACACGAACACTTCACTTTAACTTTACTTTGAACACTTTACTGAATTGAATAAACATTGAACTGAATTGAGCTGCATAATGATAATGTTGTCTTCTTTAGAGCAAATTTGTTTCAAAATTTATGATTTTTTTTTCATTGTTATTAAATTGAATTCAGTTGAATAATGAGTCAAATTAATTTCATAAGTGTTGAATTTTGTAACATTTAACAGTTAAGCTGGATTGAATCAACTTTGAGCTGAACTGAGTTGAATAATGACTGAATGGAATTAATTTCATAATTGATAAATGCAGAGGCTATTCCGTTTTATTGATCTGTGGCGCATTCATTTTGATTCTTTACACGTGTAATGATGTCCAGTGACTTGTTTGCATTATTTATGCATAATTTTATTTATTTGTAAGGCTTTTTTATGACTAAATTTGGTAATGGGAGAGTAAAAATATTTTTAAAACGTACACCGTTCAAACTAGGCTGCTTATGTTGAAGTGTTTGGGATGTGGCTTTTAATGATGAGACCTTTTTTGTAATCAGGCTCTCAAAAAGTATATAACAATTTGGATATAGATTTATCGGCCAACATATCGGTTATCGGCTTTCAAAAATAAAGAATAATCGGTTATCGGTATCGGCCAAAATTTTCATATCGGTGCATCCCTATTCATAATTGATAAACTTTGCAACATCGACAGTTATTGAACTGGATTGAGCTGAAAATGATACTATTGTCTTTTGTAGGGTTGCTTTAATGCTGAATTGAATTAATTTCATAATTAAGTTTTGCAACACTAACAGAGTTATTGAACTGGTTTGAATGAACTTGGAACTGAATTGATCTGAATAATAACACTGTTGCCCCCTGTAGAGCAATTTTGTTTCAAAATTGATTCGTACTGTCAAATGATTAAACGCAATCGCATCCAAAATAAAAGTTTTTGTTTTCATAATATATGTGGGTGTACTCTGTATATTTATTATGTATATATATTAGAGCCTGACCGATATATCGTTTTGCCGATATTATCGGCCGATATGAGCCTGTCA